CCCATAACGCTGTGTCTGTGATGGTAGAAGAGAATAAAGGGATGGAGCAGTATCGAGAACGGCATCCCCTCCACAGGATCTCACCTGTGGGGATGGACAGGTGTGGAGGTAACCGCACCACGGTGAAGAGTCCACAGCAGAAAAAGAGTTGCAGGTGGAATTTTGCAAGCTTTTTTCTTTTTTAAAAAAATTTATTTATTTATTTTTGGCTGTGTTGGGTCTTCATTGCTGCGCTCAGTCTTTCTCTAGAGCAGCGAGCAGGGGCTACTCCTCGTTGCGGTGTGTGGGCTTCTCATTGCGGTAGCTTCTCGTTGCAGAGTGCGGGCTCTAGGTGCACGGGCTTCAGTAGTTGTGGCACATGGGCTCAGTAGTTGTGGCTCGCGGGCTCTAGAGCACAGGGTCAGTAGTTGTGGCGCACGGGCTTAGCTGCTCCATGGCATGTGGGATCTTCCCAGACCAGGGCTGGAACCCGTGTCCCCTGCGTTGGCAGGTGGACTCTCAACTACTGCGCCACCAGGGGAGTCCCTCTTGCAGGCTCTTGAGCCCTGAAAAGATCATGGTTTCCCTGTCCTATCATTTCTAGTTCAAAATAAATGTTTACTTTTTTTTTTTTTTTTTTTTGCAGTACGCAGGCCTCTCCCGTTTCGGAGCACAGGCTCCGGACGCGCAGGCCCAGCAGCCATGGCCCACGGGCCCCGCCGCTCCGCGGCATGTGGGATCTTCCCGGACCGGGGCACGAACCCGCGTCCCCTGCATCCGCAGGCGGACTCTCAACCGCTGCGCCACCAGGGAAGCCCTAAATGTTTACTTTTTGAAATGACATATCATTTATATGTGCTGAATTTCAAATGCATTTTTAATTTAAAAATTTTAATTTTAATTGACAAAAAAAATTTTAATTTTAGATAAATGATTAGAAGCATCTTGTTCTTTCTCTTGTCTCTCGCTCTGTGTCCCTGTTTTCCTGGGTCCCTGGGCATGTGCTTGGTCAGCTTCTTGGGTCGCCCAGCACTGGTGGGATGGTCAGCACAAGCCACATAGCTGGGCATCACAGAGCACTGAGAATCCAGAAGTGAACAAGACACAATCCCTGACTATAGGTCACTCTCTCAGGGGTGACAGACAGCAAGGCAATTTCAGTTCCATGTGGTAAGTGCAAATATGCTCTGTTATCACCCTGGAAGGTCTTAACCTAGGTGGGATCTAAGTTAGTCTCAGCCATATATTTCTTTTTTTTTTTTTTTTTTTTTTTACTTTTTAAAAATTTTTATTAGAGTATAGTTGATTTAAAATGTTGTGTTAGTTTCAGGTGTACAGCAAAGTGAAACTGTTTTACATATACACATATCCACTCTTTTTTTAGATTCTTTTCCCATACAGGCCATTACAGAGTACTGAGTAGATTTTCCTGGGCTATACAGTAGGTCCTTGTTAGTTATCTATTTTTTTTTTCGATTCAGAATTAGGTATTTCATTTTATTTTATTTATTTATTTTTTATTTTATTTTATTTTTTTACATCTTTATTGGAGTATAATTGCTTTACAATGGTGTGTTAGTTTCTGCTTTATAACAAAGTGAATCAGTTATACATATACATATGTTCCCATATCTCTTCCCTCTTGCGTCTTCAGCCATATATTTCTAAATCACTAACCTCATTAATTATGTGTCAGTGTTCAAGGATAAGTTTATCAACATGTGCTGGGAGTATCTTATCACAAGTTCCTATTACCAATTACATGCAATATAGCAGATTGCGTTTTTCAAAGATGGCCCTCTTCATGCTTATCCCACCCCGCACTCTCTTCTTACAGTGTGACCATGTGACTGATATTCTCACATGTAGGGGTGTGTGTTCCCTCTCTTTGTTTTTTTTTTTTTTTTTTTTGATTAATTGAGTGATTTTAGTTGAGTGAATATTGATACATGGCAGAAAGGCATGAAAATAAAATGAACACATACGGGAATTACTATTAACATAAGTGATAACATCAAAACATCTGGTAAAATGCAGTTAAAAAAACAACACACAAATGAAATGGAATGTAAAACATTTTCACAGTATTCAAAGCTTTTGTAAGAGATTTAGACTCTATAAGAGGAGCGCTACGTGGAGGAACTAGAGGAAACAGGAATCTCGTCTGTGTCCTGTGCATCTGCTGGTGAAAGGTCAGGAGGGCCAGCACGTTATGCCACGAGCGTCTCTCCTAAGACAGAACGCCTGAGCCCAGCACATCCACGGGGTTACAGCAAAGCCCTTAGTTACGTGGAGTCTGATGAGAAAGACAGACTCTAGGTTTGGGCAATGGGGTTTCTGTCATTTACAGACCCAGCAAAGCCCTTAGTTACGTGGAGTCTGATGAGAAAGACAGACTCTAGGTTTGGGCAATGGGGTTTCTGTCATTTACAGACCCAGGTGTCTTAGGGAGCCCTCAGTGCTAATTCACCGACACCCAAGGCCAAGTGTGACACAGGATGCTCTAAAAATAGAGTGTTCTTGGAATTCTCACCTCACTTTCTATCTTCTAAGATAAGTACTAATATTCTTCAAAGATTTAGCTGAGTTCTGCCCATGACCTCACTGGATTCCACCCAGAATGATGATTTTAAACCTTCACGAATACAACATTTGCACTAGTAATAATGACCCAATCACACACAGACCTCTTTTGGAAACCAATGAGAAAGCCAATGAGTCTGCACATCGTTTTTGTTACATCCTTTGTTGAGAAAAACAAAGGTTTGTGATCAAATGCAGCTTTGGGCCCAGAGCCTCCTTTTGCCCTGCAATAGTCAAGGCTGTCCCAAGCCCACAGTGAAACTCAGTCCCGGGACTCTGTGCTTGGACTCTACAATTGCAATTCACATTTCCAACTTATTTTGAACTCTCTTACTGCTTCCTACCTGAGAATTCCCATTTAGAGAGTCCACCTGTCCATTTATAACCTTCCTGGGGTAACTGCTATGGCCCACACAAAGCCTTTCCCAAGGCCCTCACCCTGGACAGAGGCCTTGTTGCCTGACCCACTCTGTCCAAACAAGCAGATGCATACGAGCACAGAACTCTTGAGTTAATCAGTCAAGACTAAGACCCAGATCCAGATCCATACGCTCATGAAATTGCTCTGAATTTCAGTTGACAATAGGAAAGTAGAATGTCTCTAATAAACTAATATATATACACATTTTAAAAAAATCATCCAAAATTACAGGCAAATCACTTAAGATCCCCAACACTTTATGATTAAAGGTCAGAGAGAGCCAAAAAAAAAAAGTATTAAATGATGGGTCACTAATTGTCAGGGGTTCATTAGGTCAGGATAACCCTCAAGAACGTACTGAAGTTGGCAGGCTGGCTTTCAGACTGGAGTTTTGGGCAGTTAACAGAATCTTCCACTGTTTCTGTGTCAGGCAGAGGCCATGCGGGTGACGCCTTCTAGCCCCACTGAAGCATTGGATTGGGTATAAACATTTGCCCAGAGGGACAGTCGTTAAATCCTCGAGGTGTTACAGAGAATTAAGAATCAGGCTTGAGGGAGAAATTAATTTGGGAGGAATTACTTCCTATACATTGAACAACAGGAGTCAAGTTGCTTCCGTGAATGGGTTTATGTACATCACTCATTAAACACAATGGCTTTGAGAATTATCTTGGGGCCCTTGGGGGAAAACCATAGCTGCTTTGCCTTTTAAACTCCCTCCTTGGACGGGGACCCTTGTAGCTTAGCTTTCCCTCTGCAGAAATGAAAAAAGCAAAGCCAAACAAACATTTTTTTTTTAGTGCAGAGGACAGGCAGGCAGGCTATTCTGAATTTCTCAGCTCTCTAGGCAATCAAGTTCAAAGGAATCCATTTCTTCACAGGAAAGACAGGAATGGGATGTACTGTGAGTTTTGATTAGCGTTGTGTTCGGGCCAGGGCAAGCCAGAACCCCTCAGGAAGGAGGACCCACAGCTACACTACCAGGAGAATCCACCTCCCACTGGAAATGCTCAGAGAGACAGCCACTCAGCTAGAAAGTTGCCTCAAAGGCACCAAGAGACCCCAGTCTTACCACACCTTTCAAATGCTCAGTGGAGATTTTTTTTTAAAACCTTGAAAAGTAAGTGGGTCTGTTGGTCGCTTTAAAACAATGTGAAATGAACAAACAAGGGAATTAGAATACTGAGCTCTTTACCCAATGACAATTCACCCTAGACTAGCAACTTGCTCGACTGTTCTCAATTTTTTCTGTTTTTCTCCTTTAACTCTGTTTTTTGAAAACCACCGTTGCCTTCTCAGTCTACGAATCATCACCTCTGTCACACCAAGGCAGGCCCGTGCCGCCCTCCACGTGTCAGGAGGTGAGATCAAACCTGAGGCTGACGGTAACCACCTCCAGGGCATCTGAGACTGGCTGGTTCCTATCAGAGCTGACACATGGCCACAGGGCCAAGCAATGCAGGCCCCTCCCTTTGTTCTTCCTATTTCTCCTGTGCACTGTCACTCTCTGAGTGTGGTGTGTGTCTGTTTCTGTGCACGACGGACAGAAAGAGAAACTCCTCTGGAACTGAAAGCCGTGCATCTTACCAACAGTTAGAATTTTCTAGTTCCAAAGGCGTAGATTAGCTGATAGATCCATAAGCAATCTGTAATGACAGAGAGTGGCAGAACCTAAGGTTTGCTGCCGCCTCTCCCTTGCCGCCCACCCCCTTTCTTTACCGCAGCGTTTTCTTTTGTAGTGACTGTGTCTCTGACTGCGATGATGCTGCACCTCCCTTCCCCTGGGGACGTGCTACTCCACACTGTAGGTCTTCAGAAGCTTCCTGATCTAACTGGGTTTCCTCATCTGGGCATGCGGCTTTAAACATCAGCTATACTGGGATCTGGAGCATGGGGATGGAGGGAGGGCTGGGAAATGCTGCAAGGGCAAAGTAGCTGGATTACGATGCCCTCCACCTCGAAGGAGCAGGGGGTGTGAACCGCCGAGGGTCCAGGGGTGTCCGCTCCCCCCAACCCACCCCACGAGAATCACTTAAAGACCGACTGGAAAGTGGGACATTCGTGATTCTTCATCTTCTTCATGAAGTTTTTGAATTCTTTGTTTTTCTTGTCCCACTTATGGATGGCCGTCAGCAGGTACTGGCTCTTGACCTTGCGGCCCATGATGAGGAAGTGGTGGCTGAGGTTGTCCAGCTGGTGACAGGGGCAGTCGGCCCCATTCTTCAGGTACAGGACCAGCTTCTTCAACTCCTTCTTCTTGATGGGCCCCAGCTTCAGGGTCTTCTTCTTCTTGGGAACAATCTTCTTGTCGCCATTTTCCTTTTTCACTTCTTTGATTTTCATCCTCAGGGCAAACTCGCTGGCACAGAGATGCTCGATTATGGCTTCAGATTTCAGCTCGTTGTCACAGGGAGGACACACCGTCGTGCCTTGGGGCTTGGAGGCCTCGGTGGCGTTGGGTGGGGTCATGGCGATGCAGACGTCGCCCTCGGGGAACTTGTCGCACTTGAGCATCTCGGGCCAGTAGAAGCCGAAGAACTGCATGACGGGCTCGCACGAGTCTCGCACGGCCTCGCAGAGCCAGCGGCACGGGTAGATGGGCCGGTCCAGGCAGACGGGCGCGAAGAGCGAGCAGAGGAAGACCTGGGTGCCGATGTGGCAGTTCTTGTTGAGCAGGGGCACCCAGCTGCTGGCCTGCTGCTTCACCTCGGCCATGGTCTCGTGCTCCAGCAGGTTGGGCAGCACCATCCTCTTGTAGCCCACGGTGTGGCACAGCCGCAGGTCCACCGGGATGTCCACGCACTGCGGCGGCTTGGTGTAGAAACGCCCGCTCTGGTACGCGCCAACGTCCGACTGGAAGCTCACGTAGTCGTACTCGCTGGCCGAGCCCGCGGCCAGGAGCCCGGCGGCCAGCGCCAGCAGCGCGCCTGCCGCGGCCCAGCGCCCGCCGCCCATGCTCGGCGCCCCGGCCCCTGCGACGCGGGGCGTCCTCGGCCGCCTCCCCGTGCGCGTCCCGCCGCGAACTTCCAGGAGCCCCCGGGCACAAAAGGCGCCGTCCGCACCCGCGCCAGGCGCTGGCGGGGCGACCCTGGGGAGCTCGCGCGGGGAGGCGAGCGCGCGGCCCCTGTTCCCTCTCTTTGAATCTGAGTGGAAACCTGTGACTGCTGACCAATGGAGCAGCGATGGAAGTGATGCCGTGTGACTTCTTAGCTCAGTCATACAAAGGATCTCCCCACCCTCCATGCTTGTCCTTGGAACCCACCACCATATTTTGATGAAGACCAAGCTATATGGAGAGGCCACATGTGGGTGCTCTGGCCAACAGTCCCAGCAAGACCCCCAGCCAATAAGGCAGCATCAACCACCAGACATGTGAATGAATGGACTTCACATGGTCCCAAATCCTGGCCTTTGAGGCTTTGAACTGAGGATTAGGTATGATGGACCAATGACAAGCTGTTCCCATTGATTCTGCCTGAATTCCCGACTCATAGAAAACACAAGGTACAATACATGATCATTGTTGTTTTAAGACACGAAGTATAGGGAAGTTTGTTATGTATGAACAGGTAACTAATACAATGCACAAAGCTATTTATGAGGATTTTTTTTTCTTTTTGTAGAAAGATATGAGAAATTGGAATGATGGTGAACATATTCATCTTTATCATTTGCACAAAAATTAAAGCACAGTACGTTTATTTGGATGTTGATGAAGTGACATTTAAAAACTATCATCTAGTAAGATGCTTTGAAAAGCCAAAAGCAGAGTAGTTGGTATAAAGATAACTAACACTTAATGTAATTCATACCAGGCTTGAGAGCTCAGAAATTGGAGTAAACCCGAGCTGTTAAAGCCTACAGGTAATATGAGCCTACAGGTAAACAGAGTAGAGTCCAGCTTCCGCTAAACCCAGTAAGCACAATATTCAAACTTTAGTGTGTCTTGAAGTCACCAGTAATTGTGTTAGAAGTTCAGATTCCCACCCAATCCCTCCTCCCCTCCCCTCCCTGCCCAGGCCACTTCCCCTCCCCCGAGTATTTTCATGCAGGGTGGGGTTTGGGAATCAGTATTTCTGCAGTCTTCATGCAAGTTGACTACAGGCAACGCAACTTCATCCTATATTAGAAAACGTGTGAATTCTGGCAGTGCAGGCAGCTTAGCCAAGGCAGGGATGACCAGGCTGGGCTCCCCTCGGAGCTCTTGAGAGCGGATGCCACGCCCCGCTGTCCATCCTCGTGTCCAGGGCCGGGCTGTGCACAGAGCACACTCAGGGGACATTGGCTGAGCCGAGGCCATCACTGTGGGTGCTCTTAGAGCTGGGCGCTTCCTCCAGTTTCATAGTGTGGCTGGCCCTTGCCCGAGCTCCCCAAGCAAACGCTTCCACTCCAAGGAAATCACTCATGCGAGAGTCTCAAAAGAAATTTCTGCTTCTTTGATTTTGTTTTTGTTTTGTTTTTAATTAGTAGAGATCTGGGAGTGAGTAGAGAGATCTAGAGAAAGTACAAAGGGAAACATTCCTTTACAGAAATTGTTGGTAAACGTTATTTATTCATTCTACAACAGCTTTTGAGTTTAAGCTCCTTGAAAGAGTCTTTTTTTTTTAACTGCTTTGTCCCCAGAGCTTCACATAATGCTTCACAAATGACAAGAATTATAACAAAGGTAATTTACTTTTCTTGGGCACTTACTGTGTGTTAGGTACCCTTCTAAACACTTTATATATATTATTCATTGTATCTTTACATCAGCCCTGTGAGGTAGGTTCTAATATTATCCCCATTTAATAAGTTCATAAACTGAGGCACAGAGAGGCACATAGTAGTCACTCAGTAAATACTTATTGAATGAACTATTTGTGGAGTGCTTCCTATGTGCAAAGCTATCTGCTAAGCTCTGAAGAGGGTAAAGAAATGAAGAAGACAATCCTGTCTGGAAAAGGATCTGGGAAAAGGGTTTCCAGTCTTATATGCCAGCCTGTTTGTGAGATTCCTGATCACACTGCCGGGAAGAGTGGACAGAGCCTGCTTCCTTCCATCTCCCACCTCCCATCCTGCCATGAACTGACATTCTTGGCTGAAACTGAGAAAGCAATGCAAGTCAGCATGTCTTAAACACAATGACCCAAGGATGATATGACAGCCATTTCCTGTAGAATGCCAGAATGATAATTTATTTCTAAAGAAATTCAGATAACTAAGCAGTCAGTTTCCTGCAAGTGATTATTCAATAGGGTGAGCCCTTGGGACTTGACTGTTAGTGAGCCACAGCAATAAAGCTGAGTTCATTTGGGGACTCAGAGGGACACAAGGGAAGTTTCCTTGTGTCTAGCCCTCTCCTTGTCCCCCCCCACTCCCTCCCCTTGCCCCATTTGTTATTCTGACCTTTATCACCCTCCAAATGTGGAAAGGCACGATCCAACAGTTTAATTTCCCCAAGATAGTTACCCTTTCATAGCCATCCACAGGAGAAATCATTTGCTGTCCTTCCCCACAGCCCTGCAAATGAGAGACCCTCTCCAAAAAATCTCCTATTCCATTTGAGTGGCCCAATTCAAGTGTCTGCATATTATTTGGTCTCTCACTTTTGAAACACTCTCCTCTTCTATATTCCTTGGTTTCACTCTCCCTTCACACAAACTGCTCCTTCTGAGTTTTGCTAACCATCCCTTTTTCTAACTAATGTCCAAATCTGAGAGTTCTTCAGCCCTGGCCCTCAACCCTCTTCTCTCTCTGATCTTCATTGCTCATCTCATGCATTGCCATGGATTCAAGCACCAGTTTAGTGCCATCGAATCTAAAATTTGTATTTCTACCCTGGGTCTCTCCTTTGACTGAAACTCTTGACATCGCTGTCTTGACTCGTTCCCTTGGATGCCTTATACCCCTCAAACTTAACAAGTCCCAAAAGAGCTTTCAATGTTCTCGAAACCTCTTTTCCCATCCCACTCCAGTCTTCCCCATTTTGCTTAGTGGCTCTCTCCTCCACCTGGCTGCTCAAGCTGGAAAACAAATTATCCTGAATTTCTTCCCTTTCTTCATGTCCTTCAGTTAAATTCATTGGTGTTTAGCTTTTCTTGATTGTGCCTCTCAAAGTTTAGACCTACATGCTTTTGAAAGCTGGAAACCTTAAAAAGTGGCTATCTTTTAGCTGTCAGAAATTTGTATCTTTGCTCTCAGTGAAATTGCAAATTCGTGGGGAAGATTCTTCTTTTGTTCTGGGAGAAATAATTTTGTTTTCAGTTTTAGGGGGAAAAAAGTAGTTCCTTAGTTTGAACGAATCATCAGATGTTTTAAAAGTATATCTTCAGGGACTTCCCTGGTGGTCCAGTGGTTAAGAATCCATGCTCCCAATGCAGGGGGCCCGGGTTCAACCCCTGGTCGGGGAACTAGATCCCGCACGCCGCAGCTAAGACCCAGCACAGCCAAATTAAAAAAAAAAAAAAAAAAAAAAAAGTATATCTTCATCAGTCAGGTCTAGAGGGGTGAGAAGCAGATAACTGCAGCAACTCATCAATCTGCTGCAATCCTCCAAGAGGAGCTTTATTGAGAACAAATGGACTACAGCTCTGACCCCCAGATGGACAAGACAAAACACAGAGTGCCTCACGGCATCTGTGGCAGATTCTATTTTCCAAAGATGGCTGCAACAATAGCCCTTGTCTTATATTCTTCAAGTACCTTGCTACACTCCACTGAGTCAGTGTCTGTGTCCCCTCCCTCTTGAAACTGGGTGGACCTTTGCCACTGCCCCAACCAAGAGAGTTCGGAAGAAATGAAGCTATATGACTTCTGAAGCTAGATCATAAAAATGTTACTCACTTCCATATCGTTCTCTTGAGATGCTTGCCCTGGACTCCCAGCAGCCATACTGTGAGGCAGTCCAAGCAGCCTGTGGTGTGGCTAATGTAGAGAGGAGCCCAGGCCCTTAGGCTCAAGCCCTGGCTGAACCCATGGCCAAGAGGCACCTCCAACTATCTTCCAGCCCGGGGTGAGCTCTCCCAGTTCACACTGCATGAGCAGAGACAGAGTATCCTGCCCAAATTATAGACTCTTGAGTAGGAAAAAACGGCTGTTGTTAAGCCACTAAGCAGCAGCAGCTAACTCTGATATAGCATCCATGGCAGGAAGAATGTATGGATAATTATTACACACCCTGGAAAAGTGAGATGAATTCTTTTGTGCTGTCTTTTGCTTTGTCAATTTGTAAATCTCCTACATGTCTCCTCCCCCAGCCCCAACCTCAACCTCCTCTGAGGTTGCTTCTTGGCTCTAGCGATTTACTTCTAGCATGCAGTAGCATTTAAGGAGGTTTTGATTTAATTAAGGGAAGTGGCCTGGTATGAAGGAGCCTTAGGAATTTGGAAGGTACAGGATAAAGCATGATATCAAGAGTGGGAGAATGAGGCTAATGAGAACTGTTCTCATCCTTATCAAAGACTTTTTAAAACCCTTTTTATTTATCATAACCTTTAAGTAACTTTAAAGTAAGCTACATGGAAAACACATTATTTTGCGTAATAGCGGAATTCCACGCCCATCCTGCATCTTTGGGGCTATGGTTCCTAGGACTAGAAGGCTGAGATGGAACTAAATTGCTCTGCATAAGAAAGGTATGTGGGCTGCACCCCCCTGTTCATTGTAGCATTATTTACAATTGCCAAGACATGGAAACAACCTAAGTGTCCACTGACAGATGAATGGGTAAAGAAAATGTGATATATATTGGAATATTGTTGGAATATTGTTCAGTCATAAAAAGAAGGAAGTCCTGCCATTTGCAACAACATGGATGGAACTTGAAGGCATTATGCTTTAGTGAAATAAGTCAGACAGAAAGACAAATACCATGTGATCTCACTTATATGTGGAATTTAAAAAACCAAAACAAAACAAAACCAAAAACACCCAAACTCATAGATACAGAGAACACATTGGTGGTTGCCAGCAGTGGGAGGTGGGCAAAAATGAAGGTGGTCATAAGGTACAAGCTTCTAGTGAATAAGTCATGGGGATATAATGTACAGCATGGTGACTATAGTTAATAGCACTGTAGTGCATATTTTTGATATTTATTAATATGGGAAGTCATTCATAATTTGTGGCTAAGCCATAAAACAAAACAAGCAATTTAGAAAATAGTATGCACAACATCATCACATATTTTCATAAGGAAAATGACTAGAAAAAATACCTCCAAATAGTTTCATTTTGCACAAATGTCTTACCTGATTACTATTCTTGCT